TCGGAGGGGCTGTCGCCGGAGCGCTTGGGCCGCCGCCTGGCGCAGTTGCTGGAGCTGCTGTGGCCGCTTGTGGCTCGGATGGACGAAGGCCCGCTGGGCCGATTTGTCGGGGCCTGCTCCAGAATGTCCTGCAGGGTCAGGGCGCACTCTTCATGCTTCCAGAACTTGCTCAGTATCAGCACCTGGCCGTGGCGCTCGATGGCCTGGGCTGGAGCCTGTTGCTGTGGCTCTTCCTCCTCATCCTGCAGGGCCCCGGAGGGCTGGTCCCCAGGCTCCATATCTGGTCCTGGCCCCTTGTACCTCTGGGCCCAGGCCTCTGTCGGACATGGGAAAAGCTGCCCTTCCCTGGAGCATGTCACAATACCCCTGTGCCCTACCTCTTCCTGTCGCGACCAAGGCTCCCCTCCCACTATTCTTCAGAAATCTTCCAACACAGGGAAGTTGCTGTTGCATGCTGGTGTCAGCCCGTCTGTGGTGTTTCTCTATCATTTTGCATGTCTTTGGTGTCAAAAGGGCAAACCCTTTTATCCCATGGATGGACGGACCATTATGCCCAAGCCTCCAGGTAAAATGGGCTTTTGTGGGACCAGGGCATTTAAAAAAGCAGTGGACCTGAATGCTTGGAACATCTGACCAGCAGTGAGAAACAAAGACGCTGGTTCCAGCTGCTTACAGCTTGGGAAGCAGGTGTTGCCCAGGCTGAGCCCGCTGCCCTCTGGGTGATCCGGAAGTCAGAGTCCTGGGCTGGTGGAAACTGATGGGGCTGCAGGAGACGGTTTGGGGCCCCCTCTTCTCTGGGTATGCATTTGAAAAACCCAGTCTTTCCCTCCTGTGTTTCTCCCTTACTTCACCCACCGCACATTTCACTGCTGACACTTCTGGTCACCACACGTATAGGGGTTTTCCCCAGACCAAGCAATTTCGTGACACCAGCTGGGCGTCCTACAAACTCAATTCTGACACTATCTACTGGAGAAAGTGTCAGGTCCCACAGGTTAAGGACTCAGTCCCACAAGACCGCCCTCCCTTTCAGACACGAATCACAAGTCCACGTTGTTTCTGTAGTTCTCACCCACCCACTAGAAATTGGAGGTT